TTGAAGAGTGAACAGGTTTTATTATTGTAATCAAGAAGGAAAAGAGCAATACATTTTATTTTGAATGTGTATTTAGGTTTTATACTCCCTGATCTGATTATATTTTTCCTTCCTTTGGTGGCTGAGACAGGACCAACTTGTAAGGGTACTTTGTTTTCTGTTTTTTGTTTGCTGAGGAAGATTTTCCCTGAGCTAACATCCAGGCCAACCTTCCTCTATTGTTTTTAGTATGTGGGCCACCAGCACAGCATGGCTGCAAACAGTGGTGTAGGTCCATGCCCAGGAACCAAACCCAGGCCACCGAAGTGGATGGAGCATGCTGAACTTAACCACTAGGCAACCAGGGCTGGCCCGGTACTTTAAAAAAAAAATTCTGACTTAAAATATGCTTATTTGCATATTTTAAAACATTGCTGGCTTTCCTTCTGTTTCTGAATACATCAAGCTTTTCTTGCCTTAAGCTTTTATCCAGCAGTTTTTTCTGTCTGCGATGCTCTTCCCACAGCTTTGCATACCTGGCTCTGTCTTTTCAATGAGTTCTTAACTGTCACCTCCTCAGAGAGCCCTTCCCTGACCACCAATCTAAGGCAGCCTCCAGCCCACCCACAGATCACCGTGCTTTAGCTTCATCACAGCACTTATTTCAACCTGCTATTCTGTTTATGCTTTATTTATTTGTTTGGTGAAAGCCTCCTCCCTCCAGAATATAATTTCCACTTGAACAAGAATTTTGTTTGATTTGATCAGCATTTTGTTCTCAGTGCTAAAACAATTCCTGGAAGAAAAACTAGGCTTTCAATAAATATTTTAGAATAAATGAATAATTAAATCATTTGAATAAATAAGTGACACTTTAGAAATTGCGTTTAACAGCTTTCAAGAGACTGGTCTAATTTTGACTTTTTTTCTGTTGCCACATTCACTGTATTTCCCCTCAGGTTCTTCTTCCACCAATGTGCAGTCACATTTTTGTTCCACCAGGCCCCCAAAGCAGCCAGACAGGCAGATGGAGAATCAACACCGTCAATCAGTGTCAGGTGTGCACTATTCTCTTGATTTGAAAGGGCCAGCACTGTCATTTAAACATCATCCCATCTCTTTGCATCTTACAAAGTTTAATTCTACAAAAAGCAAGGAGGCAATTGCTCTGGATTGTGTGGTGCCTATCAGCAGGGTAGATGTCATTAAGATTCACTTCCTTGCTTCTCCTGTCCAATTGCTTCTGTGAAAGGCAGTGGATTTCTCTTGTCTTCTTCAATTTAGATTTATTGAATTTCTGAATCTCAGCCATATCTTGTTTGTCAGATATTTTGGCAGATTAAGCAGTAATGGGGTGCACAAAAGAAAGTCAGATTTCCACAGTAGCTACTCTATCCCCCTGTCTGGTATCCCCCATCTCCCATTCCAGCCTCTTCTGATATAGCATTATCCTTATTTTCCTTGTACCCTGACGATTTCTTCCTGCCCCTCCCTAACTGCACCTGTCCTCAAGGTTTATCCTTCTGCAATTCTCCCACAATGACACCCTAGAGCTCATTTTCTACCACTGAGTTTATGCTTATATTTTTCCAGCTCTCAACTTCACTCAAGGTCTTTATCTCCAATGCCTTGTGGACATCGGTACTTGGAGATTCAACCTTTAATGCAATATGTTCAATACCTAATCTACCATTTTCTCCCCAAAGCAGAAACTCCTTTCATTTTCCTGCTTGTGCTAATATATACATGTATATTTTAAGAATAACAAATCTGAAATCATTTTGCCTCCACTATCAATTACCCTTCACAATCAGTTAGTGGGAAACCATATAAATATTTTATTAGCTGTCCCTTTACCATTTCCTTCACTACCGTGCTAGCCTAGATTGATAGCACAACAGCCCAGGAGTACTACACAACTTCCCAATTCAGGGTCTCTCAAAGTGTGGTCCAGCCACATTTGCAGCAAAATCATTTGGGGATCTTGTTAAAATATAGATTCCCAGACACCGTCTGAACCCTAACCTGCAGAATTAGAAGTTCTGAGTGCGGGGCCCAGAATTCTGCATTTTAACAAGTTCCACAACATAATTCTTTTACTAGTTTTAGAGCTCTTGAAATTAACTTCTCTACCTCCTATTTCTACCCTGCTCCAAATTACTCTGCATCTGTTAGACATAGTTTACATTGGGACACACTTCTGTTTAAGGACTATGACTTTATATCTAATACATTTGCATGCATTTGAGAGTATAAAGTGGACCTTAAGGATCAGAACTCCCTCATTGTAGAGAAAAGGAAACTAAGATTCAGAGAAATTTCACCTACGGAGGTCACAGAGTAGGTAAGTGGCAAAGCCTGAACTAGATCTCAAGTCTTATGACTTGCAAGCTATACAGAAAAGAGTTAACATAGCAGGCCTGACTTTGAAAGTTCTGCTTGTAAGTTTGGCCCTTGGATGGCATCTGGGAACATCTATTTGGGGAGGGTTTCTGCCCTTCCCAGGACTGATAAGAGTGGCTCACTGAGTCTAAAATGTTTTTAAAAACAATATGGTTTAAAATGAACACTAGCTTTCCTTCTGGGAGTCTGGAATTTGGGTACATATCAGACAGAGGATGCTGTGTGACTATCTCCCAATATAAGCACTGGGCACTGAGTGTCTAAGGAGCTTCCCTGAATGGCAACATTTCACGCATGTTGTCACAACTTGTTACCAAGGGGACTATGTGTGTCCTGAGTGACTCCACTGGGAGAAGACTCTTGGAAGCTTGCACCTGGTTTCCCTTAGACTTCACCACATTCACCTTTTCCCTTTGTTGATTTGTGTTGATTGGTTACTTTCACTGTAATAAATCATAGCCATGAGTATGATTATATGTTGAGTCCTGTGAATCCTCCTGGTGAGTCATCAAACATGGGGGTGGTCTTGGGGACCTTGTAACACATGAGCAAATGCTTTCCACAACTCATTTCACTCTCTCTCTAATGGGCTGTATAGAAGAGGCAGTAGGAGTAGTCAACAGCATGGTCTTAAAAAAAACAGCGTGATTTAAATCCTAACTTAGCTGCTGAGCTCCATTACTTCTCTGAGTCATGGTTTCATTGTCTATAAAATTGGGCCAATAATACTTACTTTGTAAGATTTTTACAAAGATTTAGCGGTAATAGTACAAAAAGTCCATTGCATACACCTTTTAAGGAGGAGCTATTATTTTCATGTAGAGTCTTTTGGATAAGAATGAATGATCAGAAATAATTCTATAGATCTGATTTTATGTATCCATGTATTCATGTAGCAGTGGAACTAATTATATGGACTAAAAGGTCCCAATCATGTTAGAACTTGTGAGCAGATTGTCTTTCTCAGGATCTGTGTAGACCTCCTCTAAGAACTTACAGTGGGAATTGTTGTGTGGAGAGCAAGCACAGAAAAGAACATGTTTATACTCATCCTCAGCTTTCAGTCCATGCTTGGCTATTTGTCTCTTGCTTTTGGGGTCCCACCCACTCCACTGATTTCTGGGCCCTGACCTCTTTCTGGGTGCCAATCTGCACTCCTTAACTCTTAATTGGATGCTCAGCTATTCCTCCAACTGTACCGTTTTCCAACCACTAGTTCACACACAACTCATTCCCCATCATTCACTTAGTCTTATATGGAGGATCCCCCCTGAAATTTCTCTCTTGGCTGTACCCCTGGCTTCATCCCTTAACCAGACTGTAATATTTGCTCTTGAATAAAGTATATTTCACTTTTGTGAAAGCAGGATTATTAGGTAAATATAATCCCAGTCAGTGGCAAGATATTTGGAAAGAAAACTCATTTATGTTTGTTTATTCTTTCTGTCCCTTGCATCCAGATGATGAATACAACACTTCTTCTTAGTACTAACATTGTCCCATCTGAAATAATGTAACTAAGGGTTTAAAAATGAGTTATTTGAAATCTCTTCAGCAATTCAAATGAGTTGGATTCTTTAGTATATAATAGGGTAGCTGCCATAAAAAGCAGACAGTGTATGCAAGGAGTTACTTTATGGTGCATCATTTTCAGAAAAAAATCATTAGTCTTTGATATCAAGGGCAAACTAGTTAACAAAGATATTTGCTCTGGATTTCTCAACCAGACATGATACAATGTTGAGAGCGTTGCACGGGGAGTCACGGAGCCTATGTTTCAGTCTTTTACTATGGTACAGTGGTTAAGAGCATTTTCCCATCTCTACTTTCATCTAGGTAGAGTTGAGCTACTAGTACTTGCCAATGGAATGTGATTGGAAGTGATTGTGGTACTTCTCTGCTAAGGTGGTTTTGAAGGAAGTGTCCCTTCTCCATGCTCTCTTTCCCTAGCTCCTGGCTGGATGTTGACACCCAGAGTGACCTCGGAGGCCACATGTTAAAGATGGCAGAGCCACTCTCATCCAGAGTCCCTGAATGGCCACATAAATAATCAGTCCTTCCCTCTTACCAATCAGGAACATCTGCACTATGTTAAGGCATTAACATTTTGAAGTTTTCTGTTATAGTAGCTAGTATGTCCCTAATTAAGTTGTTTTACCTCTTTATGCCAATCTGTTTGGGTTGTTATAAGGATTAAGTGAGTTAGAACCACGGCTGACAGATAATAAATGCTCAATAAATGTTAGCTATTGCTATTATTGCCTGCTCCGATGTTAACTAGTTATGAGTCATTGAACATGTCAATTTCTCTGGACCTCCATTTCTTCAACTGTAAAATCATCATGCTTGATGATTTCTAAGTTTCCCTAAGTTTGAAAGTTTATAAATAGAAAGCTCTTCAATTTGATGAGCAAAAAATTATCTTAACCCCTGGAAAGTGACCAGAGGATGCGGGAGAGGCATTCAGAACATCAGATAAAGAGGGAAAGAAGGAAAACAGAGAACACTACAAAGGACACTGAGAGAAAAAAAACATTATTTAAAGAGATGCATGTCTTCTTTTTGAAATTTATCCATCAAATCTGAAATAAGCTTTAGAAAGAAGAAGATTTACAAACCGGGCTGTGTCTGTGAGACTTTCGTTCACACCCAAATGAATATCTTCTGTGGTAAGAAAACAAGGGTGTCCTCCCAGAAGTGCAAAGCCTACAATAAAAGAAAGAGAAAAAGAGAACTGAAATAGGAAACAAAATTATAAGGAATTGGCACCATCTCAATTGAAAAGTCAAAATCTTTAAAGCTCTCCAACCTCTTTGATAGGGAATTCCCAGGCAAAGCAAAATGAGGAATGGAGGGAAGTAGATGAAATTTTTTGTACAAGCACTCAACTCTCCTCAGATGTGTGCCCATTTCTTCACCCTCTTGTTCAGAACCTGGCAATAATAGAGCATTGTGCCCTTTTGGAGGCTATGCCTAGTTTTGATTCTTTAAAATACATAATGATGTCTGTCCACGCAGGAAAATGGAAAAATGAACTATAGTATGGGATACCATGGATTACAATGGAATGCTAATCAGTAATAAAAAGGAATGAACTACTAATACACACAACATGGATGAATCTCACAAACATTATGCTGAATGAAAGAAGCTAGACACAAAAGAGTAGATAATGTATAATTCCATTTGTTTGAAGTTCTAGAACAGGCAAAACTAACATAGAGTGCCAGAAATTAAAATAGTAGTTGCTTCTGGAGGGGGTGATTGACTGGGAGGGAGCATTGGTGAACTTTCTGGGGTAATGGGAATGTTTTATACCTTGATAGAGTTTGTAGGTTACATGGGTATATGTATTCTTTAACACTGATTGAGCTGCACACTTAAGATCTGTGTGTTTTACTAGATATACATTATACCTTAATTAAAAAAAATTGAAAATAAAGTAAGCATTGGAATGACAGTTTCACCAAAGCCAGCAAAGTCAAAAGGTCATTCTACTGTTTTATTTATCCTCCGACCAAGACGAAGCTAAACACCACTCGTGTATTACCCTCACCACTTTCAACCTCCACAGAATGTGAGATTATTTCGGACATCTGAGCAGATGATGGCTCCTGCCCCACCCTCACAGCACATTCCATTAGTCCGAGGAGGATGACACAGAGAGCGGTCTGCCTTAAGCCACAGCTAAACTCTGTGGGCACAAGCAGAGACCTTTTATCACACGCCCTGGGGCAAAATTATGGGAAATGGTGACATCTAATCAGAACTTTACTGTCTCATTTGAGACAGGTTCAATAGGCAGGCTTTCTTCAATACACGATGTAAAGGCAAATAAGTGTAATTACAAGATAGAGACTTGTTCGAGGAATTATGCAAACATTACTTTTTTTCCTCCTTGTTGTAATATACCTAATTTATCTTTTGGGAAATATGCCACAGTCACAATTTTCTAATCCCATCTGTTTCCCATGAGAAAGGAGAAAATCATCAATTGCATGGTGAATTGCAGGAGGAGGGATTTTAGACCCATGAAGGGGAATTTGACCCAAAATCTCATGAAACACCCCACTGAAGCCTTAATACAATTTGAATAATGCAATTTGAATATGGACAGGTATTAAATGATATTAAGGAATCATTTTTGTTAGGTGTGATGATATTGTAGCTATATAGTAAAATATCCCTGTTTATTTAAAATATGCATACTGGTGTATTTTGGGATAAAATGTCATTATAGCTTAAATTTACTTTAAAATGCTTCAGCAACAAAAATGAATAGATAAATCAAAGGAGCGACATATTAACAGTTGTTAGATTGATGTAAGGAGTATCTATGTGCTAATTATGCTAGTGTCTCTACTTTCTGTTTATTTGAAATCTTTCTTAATTAAAAGTAAAACTCAAAAAAATCCACAACAAAACAATAGTCCTCATTTCTGTTACTGCATAAAATGAAATAATTATATTCCACCTATTTTATACTTAAAAGTGTTCTCTTAGATATGCCCAGCCCAAATAGGTTTTAGCTAGAGGCCACTGTATTCTGACTGTAGCAATGACTATTCACAGATATCTACCATGTGCTGGCACTTTATGAACATTGTTCCATTGAATCCTTCACTCTGACAAAGAGCACAGTAGATATTATTGTAAGAATTTTTAGACAGAGGTTCTGAGAGTCAAAGAGTCTAAAAACTTGTTCAAGGTTGTTTTTAAGAACCTATAGCCCTAGGGCTTCCCGCAGGGGAGCCAGCCCCTGAGTCAACTTACATTGGGATCTACTGAGACATGACAACATAGTGAAACTGGACTCAGTCTTCTTCATCTGGAAAATCAGGCAGTTTGCCTAGGGCCCTAAGATCAATTGCAGATCCAACATGCTACATCCCAGGTGGAATGAGAGAACATGAAACACACTAACACCCTACTTGCTATGAGTTCTGTAATAAAGAGTCTGACTCCATTTACATTTGACTGCTACCAGCTTTTAAGCCCACCATCACTCTCCCTTCTCCTTCTGCCCTATATCTGGGCAAGCTGATAAGACAGTGCAGATGCTCCCTCCTTTGGCACTAGCAGGAGGATCAAACTACAAGCCTATGCATGGGAATCCTCACCCCAGCCGCACTCCCTAACCACAATAACAGCCCAGGCCAGTAACATTTCCCCACTCTCTAATGCCACTTTTGGATCAGCTTAGGAGCCAGCCCTACTCTCTCCAGAAAGCCACATTATGTGAGTAATAAAACTTTTCATACTCTCTTAGTGCATGTATGGTGTCCTCACTGTCAACAATCAAACCAAATTTTGGTGGGAGGCACATCTTGTCTCTGTGGAGTGACCACAACAGGTCCTGGCCTCATAGCATCATTCTAAAATTTATTCACTCATTCTGAAGTTATGCACCTTGTGCTGTTCTAGGCACTGGGAAAAGCATCGTAAACAGCAAGGCACAAGTCCCTGCCTACATGGAACTTGCATTCTAGTGGGGAGAGACAGATAATAAACTGAATGAGTAAATTAAATATCTTGTGTGTTAGATGTTGGTAAGTGCTATAAGAAAAATAGAGCAGGGAGGGAGGATAGGGAATGCAAGGAATAGGAACTGTAATTTTAACATGGTCAAGGAAGCCACGCTGAAACATACTAGACAGTGGGAAGAGCATGTCCTGAGGTCCGGAGGAAGGGTCATGACTGTTGGGTTCAAGGCACGACAAGGAGGTTGGTGTGTAAGGTGCAGAGTGTGTGAGGAGGAAGGTAGTAGAAGGTGAAGCTGCAGAAGGAAGGTAGGAAGGAAGCAACAACTTTGACTTTTGTCTGAGTAAGATGGGAAGCTACTGGAGGGTTGGAGCAGAGGAGTGACATGATTGGACTTATGTTTTAATAGAATGTCTTTGAAGGTACAAGGGCAGAAGCAGGGAGACCAGTCAGGAGACTATTGCAAAAATTCGGGTGAGAGTTGATAGCTTGGAGTGGGGTGGTAGCAGCTGACGTGATGAGAAAATGATTGGATTCTTGATGTATTTTCAAAGTAGAGCCAGCACTCAGCTGATGACTTTGCTTCCGACCTCACTGAAAACATGGTAGCAATCAGAGAGCTTCCAGATTCTACCACCCCCATTTCCCCACCTGCCAGCATCTGTACCCATATATTCTGCTTTCCTCCCTGTTAAGCAGAGATGAGCTTTCCATGCCCCATGTATGCGCTAGAAGCCAGACTCCCTTGTCTACTCAAGGATGTTGCTCTAGCAATTCTTCCGTTTCTCTGTTACGTTACCTACACCTTGAATTGGTCATTCTCATTTTTTTCACTCATTAATAAAAAACAAATGCAAACTTTCTCTTGTTCTTATTTCCCTGCTAGGTATCCCTTTTTAATTCTTTGCTCTCTTTGCAGCAAAACTCTTTGTTTTTTCTTTCTCTCTTTAGTTCTTCTTTTCTCATTTCCCTCAAACCTATTCCCATAAGGCTTTGGCCCTCTAATGCTGCACCAAAACTCCTCTCACCAAGGTTACCAATGTCCTTCACGTTGCTACATCTAGTGGCCATTTCAGTTCTCATTTTTCTTGACTTAGCAGCATTTAACAAAGTTGTTCACCACCTTCTCCTTGATAAACTTTCTTCACACACTGTCCAGGATACCACACCTTTTTGCTTTCACATCTACCTTGCTAGTTGCTCCTTCTCAATCTCTATTGCTGGTTCCTTCTCTTTTCCTTGACCTCTTAATGTTGATGTGCCTCAGGACCAGTCCTTGGTCCTCTTTTCTCCAGCTACACTCATTCCCTTTATAATTGTATCCAGTCCCGTGGCCATAAATGCCATCGACATGCTGATAACTTCCAAATATCTCTAGGCCAAATCTCATTCCCATACTCCGAACTAATATCCAATTGCCTTTTCAACATCTTCGCTTGTGTGTCAACAGACATCTCAAACTCAATGCTTCCAAAACTGAACTCCCCCTCTTCCCCTCCATCCTGATCCCCCTGCTCCATCCGGCTCACAGTTGCTCAGACAGAAACTTTGAAGTCATCCTTGACATCTCTCTCTCACTCGATACAACAGGACACTTGTTGGCTCTCCCTTCAAAACATACCCAGAGTCTGTCCCTCTTACCCTTGTCACTGCTATCACCCTGGCCCCAGCCTCTATGTACTAGAGCTACCTATTGACAGGTTTCACTGCTTCTATCTGGTCTCCACCCCCCGCCTGCAGTTTATTCTCAACAGAGCAGTCATAGAGATCCATTCAAAATGCTAGCTAGATCATGTCGCTGCCTTGGTCAGAGCTCTCCAAAGATTCCCCATTTCACTCAGAGTAATAATAAAAGTCCAAATAAGAGAGTACAGGTTTTTTCCTCAGTACCAGGCACATTCTTCTTGCTGACAGCACTTATCACCTTCCAACATACTATATCACCCCCTTATTTATTATGTCTATTGTTTATTGTCTGTATACCTACTAGGGTGTAAGCTCCATGAAGGCAGGGATCTTCCTCAGTTTTGTATCACTCTCAAGAACCTAGAATAAACACTGGTACATAGTAAGTGCTCAAGAAATGCTTGTTGAATGAATGTAGGAGGAATTTTGACTCTGGAGAGAGGACCTATTGTTTTCACTTGCAAATGTCTCCTAATTTTGTTAACAGAAAGAACAGAATTTTCTGTTTTGTGTGACGTGAGGTAATGAAATTTAGTGATGATTACCATCACTAATCACTCGAGTACTTAATCTGTTTCTAAACAGGAAAAGTCACCTAAACAAATATAAACACTGCACATTCATCAAGAAAGTACTTATCGTGCACCTACTGTGTGCCTAGCATAGGGATGAATGTCATTGAGGGGTGGGGACTATGGAGGAAGGTTTCAAACAAAGTTTAAGACCTCCTGGCAGGTCTGCTCCAAATCATGCTCTTACTTTGTTTTTGTTTTGGTTTTTTTTAATTTATTTTTTTATTGAGGTCACATTGGTTTATAATATTATATAAATTTCATGTGTACATCATTATATTTTGACTTCTGTATAGACTACATCATGTTCACCACCAAAAGTCTAGTTTCTATCCATCACCGTACAAAAGTCCCCCTTTACCCCTTTTGCCTTCCCCCAGCCTTCTAGAAGTCATTTTGCTGTAACAAGCCAGGATTAGTTTGTTGCCTTTTCATTTCTCTCTTTGTGCTATAAAGAAGATGCACATCAAGCCTGGGCTTAAGAGGTAGGGATAAGAAGAGGGGTCACAGAAAGTGTCAAGAAATAGGAGTCAAAGCCTTCAGCAGTTCTTGAAGGAGATAAAATGAGGGTACATTGCCTCTGAAAAGGAATTGCCTCTGCAATTTTGGTCACTGATCAAAAAGAAGCATCAGACCCCAGTCCAAAAACACAGGCCAAGCGTTTGCCAGTTTATCAGACCTGGATGGTGATAAGGGCTTCAGGAGGGTGTCAGAGGTTTTGAGAAGCCACCAGGAGGTGTCATTGCTGAAGAGAGGAGGGCAGAGGGCTAGGTCTCTACTCTCTCTTCACCCTTCATCCAGAGAAGTCTGCTTTTATTTGTTTCATTTGTTTATGCATTCACACCAGATATTTTTGAACAAAGGGTTTCTTCTGTTAATATCTTAACTTCCGTCTGAGAAAATAAAAGTACATCTTATTTTACTCTTTCTTTTCCTCACAGATCCCTGCAAGCTTTGGAAGAAGGAGTAAAATAGAATTCATGCACTGGCGATATGAGGGCTCTGAGGGCTCTTGCTGGTAGAACTAAGACAATCATTAACCTCTCTGTGCTTCACTTTCATACCTGCAGAATAGTACCATGACTTTGATATTGCCACGTTTTTTGTGTGTGTGTGTGTGTGAGGAAGATCAGCCCTGAGCTAACATCCATGCCAATCCTCCTCTTTTTGCTGAGGAAGACCAGCCCTGAGCTAACATCTATTGCCAATCCTCCTCCTTTTTTTCCCTTTTACTCCCCAAAGCCCCAGTAGTTAGTTGTATGTCATAGCTGCACATCCTTCTAGTTGCTGTATGTGGGACGCCGCCTCAGCATGGCCGGACAAGCGGTGCGTTGGTGCGCGCCCGGGATCCGAACCCCGGGCTGCCAGTAGCGGAGCACGCGCACTTAACCGCTAAGCCACAGGGCCGGCCCCCTGATGTTGCCACCTTTATAAAGATGATGAATTTGAAACAGCTTGGAAAACACCAGCTTCTATTTCACCTTGAAAGTCAAACACCAATGTTAAATAATGAAAAGAACCATCTCTTAGGATTCTCTGTGCATTTTTCTATCCGCTACTGTCCTTATCGAAGTTAATAAATGTATCCGTCTATCTGCTCAATTAGTTTGCAATAAAAGAATATAATCATCAGTAGACACACAGGAGAATTGTGCGGTCTGCCAGGCAGGCGTACACGAAGAGTGAGTGAGGAATGAATGATCTACAAGTACACACAGTGACATTGATACATCTCACAAACATAATGCTGAGCGAAAGAAGCCAGGCACAAGAGAGCATATGCTGAATGATTCCATTTATAAAAAGTTGGAAAACAGGCAAAACTAATCTGTGACGTTAGAAGCCAGGATAATGGTTACCATTGGGTGGGGGGAGTAGCAAATGGAAAGAGATACAAGGGAGGGCTTCTGGGTGCTATTAACATCCTGTTTCTCTATCTGGGCATTAGTTACAAGGATGTGATCACTGTAAGAATTCATTGAATTATCTGCTTAGTGATTTGTGCACTTCTATAGGCATGTTACACTTTAATAAAAATATTACATGAGCAATGAATATAGCTTAAGTTGGGTGGATAATTTTATTCTGTCCCCTTATAAAAGCAGAAATACTCCTGTATTTCTGCAACTCAGGCTTGGGATGGAATCATTAAGGACTGTCCTGTGAGGATCACCCCATCCCAGAGGCTGGCACAAATCTGGGGCATTAATAGACAGTTTTAATTACAACCTATTTTCATTCTAAATATCAAAGTAACAGGTTTTGATGAAAAATTGTGCCAAGGGACAGCTGTTAAGATGCACATGTACACAATAGAAATGCTCTGCCATGTTTTTGGTTGAAGTTTACCGTTTCTGTAAGCATTTAAAGCAGCTACTTACTCTGACTGATTCTCCTGTTGAGTTTGGCAGGATGCCGTATGCAATTAGACCCATGGGAATTTATTGAGTATAATGATGACTACTCTGTGAACCATAACTTTTTATGGTCATATGTTCCTTTTCTCGTGTATTTGTTGTTACATTTTGCAATTATGTGCAGGTTTCAGAGCACTTCTTTATAGAAAAGCATCATTTAACAGAATGCTTAATGCCACTTTTAGAAAAAAATTTGCTGGAATAAAACATGACTATTACATGTCCAAATTAAATTAGATACTTAAAAAATACATTTAATAATATCTTCCAATCCTGGGTCTGCTATTTATTAGATATGTATCCATGGGTCGTTTGCTAAACCTGTTTCAGCCTATTTTCCTCAATGGCCTCACCCTCATAGAGTTGTCATGAGGATTAAGTAAGATAACCCATGTAATTAACGTAGAGCACTTGGCACAGAATCTGCACCCAAAGGCTTATTAAATCTTCACTTCTGGTTTTATTAACAGCTTAACTACCACATTATATGTGAATGGTAAAACTGATCACTTATTCAGGGATATTTGATATCAAACATAACATCTGAACAGAAAAAAGTGGTAGAAAACACCAACGACTAAGAAAAATTAATTTTAAAACACTTAAAATGGAGAAATTTCTATGTATTCATCAATTCTTTTGATGAATTCAAAAAAGAATACCTCTCTTAAGCACTGATGATTAAAAAAAATGATAAAATTCTGCCCAACTCGTGGAAGACCAGTGTTGAAAGGGAGCAAAACTTGAGAATTACTGACTGATTTATGCAATATTCATTTTTCCTTTACTATATGTCAGATGTCAACATGATCTCTTAAAGGAGCCAGGCTTAAACAGCAAAATGTTCTCATCTGCTTTCTTCCTAGGACTTCAAAGATTAGGCGACACCTTGTTTCCCCTCTTTTTCCTTCCTTCTCTCGAGGGTCAGGGGGTTGCATTAGTAAGAACAGTGAACTTGAGATCTGAATCCTGGTGCTATTTGTATTAATTGAGTGAACTTAGCAAGTCACTTAATCCCTCTGAACTTCGTTTTGTTATGTATCTGATGAACCTCATTACTGATCATTACAAGGCAAGAAAGGCATGAAGAAGTTGTTTGCTTCTAAGCCCTAGGAAGCTCTGATGCTTGTAAGTAGGATAAGATATTTGAAGAACCAAATGATGTGTTTGTGTTTGTGGTACCTCCTCCTTGATCCTATCCATTGGCCTATTTGGGCAGTCATATTATTGATTCAAGGGAGGTCTGATAGAGCAGAAATGCAGAGAGAAAGAAAAGAGGCTATGTGTGGCTTATGAGTTTCAAAATAGAGTTTTTGAAAATCATTACAGAGATAATAGTTTGAGAAAAAAAGAAATTTTGGGTTTCAACAGCCTAGGATTCCAGGCACAAACAATAGATTTAAAAGAATACATGGGTAGTTAGAGCCAGTTTTTCTTCCTGCTTTATTACCTGGCCTCCAATACTGGTAACTGGGAGGAGAAGAAGAGGAGCGAGAGAGAAGAAGCAACAGAAACAGTAATTGATGGACCTTTGACACTGTACCTGCTGTCTGTCCCCCAGGCCAAGCACTGAAAGGTGGGGAAAATGATGGAAATTTCAGAAGAGTTTGGGGAACCCCAGAGCTGAGAACACCTGTGTCTTTCTTTTAAGACAGAGCTCCAGGAGGTAGCAAATGTTATAGAACTCTCTGGCACCCAGCGTGAGCAAGGAACAATATAGTAAAGAGAACCTTGCAATATCTTTGTGCCCAGGGTGGCATGGAGAGCTGCGAGAAGGTCAAGAGAGCCAAACCAAGAGACTTCTCAGGTATTGTGATCAGAGTGAAGCAAAATCCAGAATGAATGGGAGACAGCCAAGGTCCAATGGGGATACAGAAGTTCCAGCACACTCCAGCATGGACATTTGATGATGATGTTCTGATGACCAATGACCAGATCCCCATGGTCCTAGATGTCTCGACATCCAGATACTCTCCAGGACTTAACCATGACTGTGGGGAAAGGGAGAGGAGACCCTAAATTGACAAAGCAAACCCTGAAACGACTGAGGATTGCCTAATGTTGCAGAGATTAGGTTTCCAACATGCAGCAAAATTGGTGCAAGCAAAGAAAAGTTCTTTACATGTTAGAAAAGTACACATTTCTTGCCCACATGAGTTTGAGGCCTTAGAATTTGTGCCCACTTACATGTTGTACTGAACATGAGGAGCTATTTGGGACTTCTAAGCAAGTCCTCATGGAATTCCTACAGATGAAGCTAATCTTTCTGCTTGCAGCTTCTATGAGAATTGGAAAGAGCATTCAGAGGCTTGCACTGCTACTCTCAGTGACAGTGTTTCCCCTTGTGGTTGCTAAAGAGACAGACAAATCCCCCCACTGGCCTACTCCTCCCAGGTTGTCACCCTCTGGCCCCCTCTTCAAAACAAGTGCGAGTTTGTCTGTTGACTCACCTGTTTCTGTGGACAATCTTGTTCGTGTACTTCTTTTTTCAAAAATCATGCCTAAGGACTTCCCTTGCAATAAAGGCAAATACTGAAAATCAATGACAAGAATACAATTAAAATGAAAAATTTATTTTATATCCAATATCAAGGATTATGTTTCAAAACTTATTCTTTGCATTATCAGAAAATGTAGAATAAGTAATTACTGTTTCCAAATAAGCATTCAAAATGTTATTTATAAAGTGAATATAAAGTGTTTTTTTTTAATGTTCTATACAAACGGAGGAAGGGAACAGGCACTCCCACAGCTTACTGACATGTAATTAGAATGTATTATTAGTTGCTCTGGGTTCAACCTGAACACTTATTTCAAAGTATATTAATATTTCATACTAGAACCATCTTCTTACTTAAATCTATGGAAATCCCTGTCAATGTTCAGTGACCTTGAAGATGCTCAGTTCGAAAGTGTTTTCTCAGCTAGAAACATGCTACCCCGTCACAACATGGGGGACTAAGATGCCTAAAGACGAAGGCTTAGAGTTCCAGCTACACTTTCATCATTTATCCTGTGAGAGTTCAAAGGCTTTGTTTCTGGAAGTCATTTGGAAACAATCTAGAGAGTCTGGGTGTGGGGTGGGGCTCTTCCTCCTTCTTCTTTTGTAGATGGACTTCCTGATAGGATGCACTCTGGAACAAATAGATTCCTGTCAGCTAGCCTTCCTCATATACAAAGTGTGAAGAACAAAGACCTGGGATCTTGGGGGAACTTTTCTCCTTATTTCAGGTCTTCCATAGGAACCTCAACCCATAGCAGTTGGAGTCACTCCTGTTTTCAGTTTGTTCTTAGGAACTTGGAGAGCTAGTGAACTAGATAAGAAAATCAAAGTTGTGTAAAACTTTCTCAACCTGAAACCACCTCTTTAAAATGCTTTTGAACAAGCTTGGAATACAAAAATGCTTTCACAATTAAGCAGTCTAAATGAAGCTGCTGCATTAATTAAGCATGTTTCAAACATAAATTGCTCAAAATGCAGAATAATGCTTATAGCTAAGCACCAGATCCCATCTCTTCTCCTACTTGGTTACCGTTTAATTGTTTCTTTGCTAATCCAAATTTTTTTAACACTGTCACATCATTGTGAATTTTTCAACATTATCCTAATGACCATATATCTGATATTCATGCACAATTGAAACTTGTTGCTGGGAAAATAACGTGTCATCCTTATTTTTAACTTGATAGAAAACACACAAAGAAAAGAAAGGAAGTATAAAAATAAAATCTTTCTGGAGAAATGATTCCTTAGGTTCTGATCCAGTTAATAATGAATTTCAACATTCCACATGAAAGAAGTGCAATGACTTGTCATTGAATAACTGATTTTTATGCTTTTTATATGCCTATACACTCAGTGATAATCAATTACCTTGACTGTGTGGTATCATTACTTAGCTACTATTTAGGAATTTTAATGTGTTTTCTTTTCCCTCTTTCTGTGGAAAAGCTGTCTTTAAAAAGGCTGATTGGTAGTAATGGAAGGTAAGATGGAAATGCTACATACCTCTCCTTTCTGTTTTATCCTAAATTTCAGATCTGCTGATAGCCATAGCATATACTTAATTTCTTCTCCTGTAAAGTTCTTTAGAGTGAGGAGGTCACGACCCTTCAGCTGTACTTTGTTTTGTAGTGGTTGTCCACATCTACAAAAAAGAAAAGGAAAGAGATATATGTTTAAGAAAAAAACCCTTGTCCTATGGTGATTCATTGTTTTAGTCTTGAAACAAAATGTAGTAAATCACATGTAGCCTCATGCGTCTCTGCAAAGTGCTAATGCATTGAAATTGATAACGCTGTGGTTTACATTTTAGATATCCAGTATTTTGAGTGTTGAGAGAAAAGAAGAATTTGAGGAAAGAGGTTGAATTCTTATTTGCTGGAAATAGCCATATGAGTGGCTTTGCCACTTACTAGTTGTGCAACTTTGGGCAAGCTACTTAACCTCTCTCTGCACCTAAATTTCTCACCTAGAAAATGAGCATAACAATCTTATAGGGTTGTTGCAAGGAAGAAATAATTTAATTCATAGAAATCAGTGCCTGGAATGTAATAAACAATTGATAAATTTCAGCTATTATTACTGAAATCATTAGATGGTACATCAGAATTTGTAATGTACATACAATAGAAAACAATTTCATTCTTTTTCCCCCGACTGCCCTTCAAATCTATTCTTAGAGATTTGTTCTTTTTACTTATCCCTGGTCAATACAATGGACCTTGTGGCTTTTCTAGTAACTTTCAGAAAAAAAAAAAAAAAGTCTTCTGCTTACTTTATTCCCTCAAAGAGTCTCAGTAAAATAATGTGTAATAATAATAGTGATTTTTTTTAAACCTTTAAGAAATGTACTGCAATTTAACACCGTTTTCCTTTCGGCTCATGCCTAATGCAAGCTGGCCTCCTCTATGGGGGGAAGAGGGACCATAAGCTGTTTCCTCTGTTTCCCTGCCTTCAGTTCCTCCAAGAAGAGCCAAGGGAAGGTGAGGAGCTAAGGGCCAAGCAAAGTCTGGTTCTGTTCTAGCAATCTAGCATTGGCATAGGTGCTTGAGGCTGACTCTTTCTCTTGTGGGGTGCTTTTGAGGGTCCTTTGGAGAACTCTCATCCAGACTCTTTTTGCTGAGATCTCCCCATCCCTTCAGAAGGTCTCTTGGTCATGATGTGAAACAATACCATGCTCTTTCTCATTCCATTTTGGTTCATGGGAAGCCCTTCATGTTCTTTGCTCTGATAAGAGTCAGGTTCATCCCAGTATAGACTCCTCTCTTGTTCTGCCATCAAAACAGCTAGCCAGCCAATCTCTCTTACTTTAGATTTCCCAGGTATAGGCCTGATATCACTGTACTGTGTCTCCAAGCTCTCCCATTGAAGAGATTGGTGCCATTGGAGCCATTGTCCCTAGGCTTGAGGTGAGGGAAGAGTACCCCTCTGGGTGGGGCACAGCATACACAATGGTAACACTTCAAAAATCCTCCTCAAAGCTACTGCCCATCTTTGGTTTCTATAATCCATTTTAGATGCTGGAGGTGATCACCAGTGGGCTGCAAAACTAATTCTTGTGTATCTCCTCTGCAAGTCCTGTTTTAGTGGTCTAGCATCTCACTTTGGAATGAGGGAAGAGTCAGCACCTATTGGGCCTGGGCAGAAACTGAGACAGAAAGAGTCTCATTTTAACATTCTGTTACATAATGGTGACAATAATTGTTATCTGGGGTAGTCAGTATATAAAATGGACAGCAGTTGTTCTTTCAGTATTCCCAGTGTTATCTCTATTTAACAATAATTAGTATTGTATATCATTAGAAATTATGAATAACCAAGGGCAAATTGTGGTTCACTACATGTATTAAACATTAATTTTACTAGGGGTAAAACGACTGTCACAAAATGATTGTGCTTGAATTCCAGCCTAAGAAGAGAGCTTGTGCTACTCGAGATGAAGAGTAAATTCTCTGGTAGGATTTATGTATGTCTTTTTGCAACGAGGACAAGATGATAGGTAGGAAAATCACAAATTTGCTCAATTTTTTGTTTTCACTGCATGATATCAAATACTTAGACAAATGAATATTTCCCTAAATATCCAACTTTCTGGCAGAGTTAATTGGTTCATTTAGTGTTTAGTAGGTGAATAGATTTTTTCGGTAGACCTTTTGTGAGATTAGGTCCTTCAGAGATTCTGTTTAGTAAGGAAAGGAACTTCCATAAAGATCAAGAGTTTGTGGGTTAGTTGGCTAATGGTTGATTGATTGATTTAATATAAGATACTAATGACACATTCAACTCCAATAGATATTGGTGTTTTCAGCTTATGTGTGGATCAACATTTTGATCAATATTCCTATTTCAAAGATGTACTATTGTCATCAACTTTTAAAAATATGTGATTCATATACTCTCCAAGTGGAAATTTCTTTAAAGCAGCAGTCCTCAATTTTTGTTTATTACAAACCTCTAACATTAAAAATTTTGAACATGGATCCACAATGTATGTTTACTTATTTATAATATATGTTACTATCCTAATAAATTATGTACATAACAAAATATAAAGAAAAATAAAGAAAGAATTAAAAATTTAGACTAAGAAGAACAAAATATTTTAAAAATAAACTGTAAATATACAAAAATATTTTGCTGACTAAAGAAGCTTCTAGAATAGACCTTCATTTTCTTCCTTCTACTGGAACCATAGTAAAAAGCTTACAAAACTGTGTCCAAAATCTGGATAGTAGTAGTCAGCAATTTGATAACTATAGAGACATGGCATTTAGGCAGGAAATTTGTTTTCACATATATATTTTGGTTATATTTTTGGTTCTGATAATATTAATTAGTGATGATATTAAGCAATACTTGGAATATACAAGTACCGATATTGTTGAAAAGTAAACCCTTTGACTGATATTCATGCATTTTTCAACTAGAAAATTCATGAATTTTCAACCCCAGTTCCAGAGTCAACTAGATCCTTTTTCTGGAGATCTGTAAACAGATTTAACATGTCTGGCCTGGCAGCTTAATCTTTCCCAATTCACATTTAGGGTAGCTTTGAAAATATTTTTTCTTCTGAAATAAGGTCCAAGCAACATAAAATCACAGAAGATAAACTCTCTTGACTCTGTGTCTTACAATAACACATTAATATTCCATGGCTTAAGAATTCTTCCAATATTATTTTAAATCTTTTTTTTAATCTTTTTTTTTTTTTTTGAGGAAGATTTGCCCTGAGCTAACATCCTTGCTAATCCTCCTCTGTTTGCTGAGGAAGACCAGCTCTGAGCTAACATCCATTGCCAATCCTCCTCCTTTTTTTTTTTTTCCCCAAAGCCCCAGTAGATAGTTGTATGTCATAGTTGCACATCCTTCTAGTTTCTGTCTTCCAATATTATTTTAAAAGGGGGAAAAAACTTTGCTGAAAAACCCCATTCCCTAGGATTCAAGGAATTTGGGAAACATCACTATAGTTGTTGCACTCACATCCATCAACAACAGGAAAACAACCCATGAGCTAGTTTTGAGGCCTTATTTTTTTTGTCTAGAGCGCAAGCTCAGACTCCTGGTTATTTTGGAGCCCACAAAAGCTAAGTCTCCAATCTGCTACACTTAAGGGATTCAATCCTCCCCTCTACTCTCAGTTTCTGCAGGCTTTTGTTGTATACACAGTAGTCCCCCCTTATCGGAGGTTTCACTTTCTACTGTGTCAGTTACCCACAGTCAACTATGTCTGAAAATATTAAATGGAAAATTCCAGAAATTAAGAATTCTTAAGTTTTTAATTGCATGCCATTCTGAGTAGCGAGATGAAACTTTGCGTCTTCCCACCCCAGCCCTCCCAGGAGGAGAATCATCCCTTTGTCCAGAGTATTCACACTGTATAGACTACTCGCTGGTTTGTCACTTAGTAGCCATCTAGGTATTGGATCAACTGTGGGAGTATGGCAGTGCTTGTGTTCAGGTAACCCCAAAGAGCAAGGGTAGTGATGCTGGCAATTAGATATGCCAAATATAAGCCATAAAGTGTTTCCTTTAAGTGAAAAGGTGAAAGTCCTTGACTTAATGAAGAAAGAAAAAAAATTGTATGCTGAAGTTGCTGAGATCTATGGTAACTTTTATTACAGTATATTGTTATAATTGTCCTATTTTATTATTAGTTATTGTTGTTAATCTCTTACTGTGCCTAGTTTATAAATTAAACTTTGCATAGGCATGTATGTATAGGAAAAATCATAGTATACATAGAGTTCAGTACCATCCTGAACTGTTCAGTGGTTTCAGGCATCCACTGGAGGTCTTGGAACGTATCCCCCACAGATAAGCAGGGACTACTGTACTCCCTTCTAAATACTCACAGGACTACAAATTTCACTTAAGTGAATATTATAGATCTTAGAATTGTGGTGTTGTTATTGTTGAATCTCAGAGAAAAAGAATTGGAAATATAAAGGAAATGAAAATTTTTCAGGGAACTAAATTTTTCAATCCCCTTTCCCTGAAAGAAGTAGGAAAATAATGGTGAAAGAGGAGGACCAACAACACCTTTAGCTACTTCAAAAAAATCTCCCACTTCCAGCTTTTGTGATCCAAACAGAAGACAGATTGGGAGAGATAGAAGGTCTCTAGGGCTTTCCAAAACTTGTCTTTACACACTTCAAGAAGTTTTTAAGTTGGAGGTGGGGTTAGGGTTCAAGTTAATGTTCTGCTGTTGAGATCGCATTGTGAGATGTGGCTTTTTTTATTTCTCTATTCACAGATTTGAGTTTAAAGACAGAAAGAAGACACAAACATCCTGCTTGAATCTTCCCTTTTTGTCCAGACTTTTCATTTTTAAATTTATGTAGCAACAGAAACCTTATTTCAAATTCTTTTTCTTAGACCACAGTGATCAGAAGAATACTCTTTGGACTCCAGTCTCTACATGGCAGCCGCTGATAATGTTGCCCTTACTCTTGTTGCCCTGGGATCGCACCTCCAATAAATGTTAGCAGAGAAGCTTTTTCTTTTTCTTTTTTTTTTAATACAGACAGTTCTGGTTTTGCGCGGTAGTGTGGGACTGTAAATAACGATTAAATCTGACACCATGCAAAGCAACCTTAATAATCAATGGGAAAAATTACAATTGTTCTATGACTTTTAAATTTTTTT